TTTAGGGCTTAGGGTTTAGGCACGTTCCCCAAGTTCCGAAACCTGCAAGCCCTCTGGAGAGCCTTTCTGTCCATCAGGTAGTTGTCTCCTTTCACGTCCCGATGGACCACGTTCCTGTCACACCGGGTCCCCGGCTCCAATGGCTTAGGGTTTAGGCTTTAGGTTTGAGGGTTTAGTGCAAGCTCGAGACTCACCAATTCAAGACCCGACGCAAGGCTTGATGCAAACATCCCGCTGCGCTGGGCAAGTGTTTATTCTGTTCAGGGCTCTTGGTGGGAGTAGAAGTGTAAAACTCAGCGGAGCAGTGCGCACATCCCTCACAACGAAAGGAGGAGTAGTAGGCACGAGAGTAGTACTCCCACCGCCACCACCACGAGACCGCGACTACGACCACAACGACGACCCCGACGACGACTGCTAATATTACTCTTGCTCTTGATGCTGCTGCTATACGGCTAGTAGCAATGCTGTCACATGTTTTGAAGGTAGCCGGGGTCATACATCACAAACACCAAGCGTGCACAACGAACCTTCAACATCACCTACCAACATTCCGCTACTTAAACTGACTTAAACCCTTGTCGACTGCTTATGGAGCTCAAGCCACTGACATGAAGGCCGCCTGTTGTGCAAGTAGCTAATGGAAGATGCCATTTGGTACCTGGCCGGTTCGAGTTGGGTGGCAATGAAACTTCAGAGCCGTCTCGTGTTCTCGACTTGAAGTTAGACTAAGACTCGTTTCCGCGTTCTCTTAGCCTCCCTGAAGCCTCAGACCACAGTACCAAGGCCTCAAAACGAAAAGTCGGGCCTCAACACTAACTGGTAAGCATGAGACCCAGCGTCCCCTCGAACTGAAGGCTCACGCGACGTGCACCACGTCCAGGCAGTTGATCTGCCCTCGCTCCTGGCAAGCTGCGCATCTTTAGGTTAGAAGTCACTTACTTTGACACCAAATGTTTGGGGACCGCAACTACCATGGAACGACCGTTACCTGCTTTCAAGCGTCGCCCGGAGCCGACAGTAGCAAGACTCATGAGGGCAGGAGGAGGAATCAGCTGTAGCAATACACCGAATAAATCAAATAAACTATTCGGGCTTCAGAAAGAAAGCTCCAACTGCCTTCTTCAGGAACATGAAAGCAAAAAAGTACGAATACCCCCCCCCCCCCACCCTAGAGGAGCCCTTAAAGGAACGGAGAGCCTTGAGGTGACGCTGCAGCCCCTCCACCAGGTCCCCGCCATCCAACTTGTCCATGACGATGCACACGAAGCACCTCTCAAGACAACGAGCTAAACAGCGGAGCGTTTAGGGTTTTAGGGGCTTCGTGCTCCGGTTTTTAAAGGTTTAAGGTTAAGGGCTTGAGGCTTGAGAAGATCATGGCTTTCGGTTCAAGGTTCAAAGGTTTTGGGGGTTTAGGGTTTAGGTTTAGGGTTTAGGGTTTAGGTTGGGCTTTGGGGTTAGATTGGCCAAGATACTTCGAGGACATATACCGAATATTGCATTGACAGCTCTTGCTACTGCTCCTGTACATCTGTAGGCTGCCCCACCTGCCGAGGCTGACTAATATAGGGGTCTAAATCCTTACCAGTACTATTCGGGGCGGGGGGTTTCTTATAACAGTTGAAGTATTTAATGAAACCGCCCAAACCTTGTTGGTAACTATACTTATAGCCCCAATTAGGGTACTTATAACCCTACTTACTAAGTCCCAAGATCCTTTAAGTTGAGATGCAGAGTCCAGGATTCAGGCTGACAAAGGCTTAGACTCTGGACGTTCGGTTCTTTCACGGTCATGTATTGAACCTTTAAGGGCCCTTTCTCTCGAGCTGAAAAGTTGGGGTTCAGAGGATCTGACTATTTCGTGTCCATAATTCTGTTTCACTTGTCTGAAACCCCTGTTTGGGATCTACTTCTGCCATCCATATGGTCGTCAGCAGCCACCGTAGCTGCACCATTTCCATCCTGCCTCTCGTAGTAGACGCCATGAAACTTGACAATGTTGGGATGGTCCTGAGCCATCGGAGCTCGCAAGCGTCGCAAGTCTGAACCCTACTCACGACTGAAGCCCTGAACCCTGAACCCTGAGACCACTGGACTATACTTAGAGGATCATGGGACTTAGTAACTGAGGTTATAAGTAAGGTAACTATACTTATAACCCCAACTAGGGTACTTATAACCCTACTTACTAAGTCCCAAGATCCTTTAAGTAGGCCTTAGACTCGGAGAGTTCGGATTCGGTAACAGGGCGTTTCAGTTTATGGGTTCAGGGCTTCGGAGGCTCGGCTTGGCTTCGCTTTCAGGCCTTACCGTCCAGGGCCCAGAATTTTAGGGTTTAGGGTTTAGGGTTTAGGGTTCAGGGGCCATCAACACCCCCAAACCGAAACTCTTCAAAACCGCTTTGGGTGCACCATGAGCCATGGATCATCCTGATCCCGAACCTTTCAAGCCCAAAGCCTCGTAAGTGCCCAGCCATGCTCGCCAGCATGTCGGCCTCCTTCTTGATGGCCTCCACGGGCGTCTCCACCTGGCAAGACGGGTGCCTTTATAGGTAGAATCAGGTTTTTGGGGCAGACTATGGTACAGTAATCAGAACTAACCCTGGGAATAATGTTGGTACTCAATCAGGTTATTGTACTATTACACGCTTTTGGCTCACACTCTGGGTGCCTGGTGCTGTCCCGCGGACATCCGGGCTCGTAGCACTAGCCACAAGGAGGAAACCGCAACACACAAAGTCCCCTGACCGTCAGCCGATCATCGCACGAAGTGTCAGCGGCATGTGTCTAGGGTTTGGGAACCTAGGGTTCTGGAGATCACGAAGAATAGGCCGATCAAGCCAACATCGAAACACCCCTGGCCCGGACTAGATCCAAAACCACACACTCAGAACCTGCGGCACCGAGACCAGCACGGCACTTTTCGACTCCAAGCCCGAAACTAAAACCTCGAACTTTCACATAGGCAGGCCTACGCCCACAAACCCCCGAAACTGAATCCCCCGCCCCTGGCATCGCTGCCCCTTCGTCCCCACCACTGGGCCTTGTCAACCATCTTCACCTCGGAAGGTGTAGGAGTTTTAGAGATCCGGGTTTGGGGAGTAGCGTTTGGGTTTAAGGTTCAGGGCCAGGGTTTGAAGTTTAGGCTTAAGCTTTGAGGCGCAAAGCCTCAGCGGCTGGGAGAGACTTCAGGCTTCAGGCTCAGGCTCAGGACGTCTAAGCTATGCCCTTGGTACTTCACAGCTTTCCGCGCTAGGATTCCTGGAACAGCATCGGCGTACAGCGGCGTTTATGCCATCATCAGCATTATGACCATCGTCATCATAGCACTTTGCGGCTTCTGATCCTAAGCACGTTTGCACGCAGACCACCAGACGGATTGAGAAATCAATGGAAAATCATCGTTGCGTCTGCTGTTGGCTACGAAGCCTTCTGGCTTGTGTGGTTGAGGTGTGTTTGGAACATGCACAGCACCCGCACTTACCCAATTAAGCATCAGGCCGAGCATGTCCGTTGCGAAACAACAACTTCAACTAAACTCTGGTGATACCGTCAAGACGGCATAAAGAATTCTACTTTATTCCCATGCATGCTACATACACATAACATCCCGTAGCGACAGAGTAAACTTTGCCCGAAGACTGCCATCTATGCAAACTTCCCAACCAAAAGCATGTTCGACAAGCTGGCTACGCTGTGAAGGCTCATTCTTTCAGACAGTTGAACTCCGCGTGCCAATTATGATTACTTCTCGATATGCATCCCATGTGTACATGCACAACAGCCAATTTTGAGGCGTGCAAGCGCCTCGCACTCCTCATGAGCTTGATCTTACACATATGAGTCTCACTACGTTACCCATACATCAAGACGAAACCCCAAACCCCAAAAACCCTGAACCCCAAACCCAAACCCTAAACCCTAAACCCTAAACCCTAAACCCTGAACCCCAAGCCCCAAAGACCCCACGCTAGAAAACAGTCATCGTCAGCCAGGCTGCGGCGAATTCCTGGCCCGTGGCTCTCTTCTTGCAAACCTGCAGGGGTTTAGGGTTTAGGGTT